ATATAAATATAAATAATATAAATATAAATATAAATATAAATATATAAATCTGAACCGGATGTATATTTGGATCTTGTTCCAAGAAGAGGGAGTAACAAGTTTTGGCTATTAGAAACTAGAAAAAAATTATAAAAAGGAATATAAATTGATCAATTGTCCAATTAGCCGAATGAACGCCTGAGGCCTAAGAGGAAAGAAGGAGATAAGGCCTCCAGCAGCTGTCCTCCCAGGCGGAACTGGGGGGGGGGTGATGCTGCTATTACCTCACCTGCTGAGTCTGGCTGCGGGTAAGCCAACAAATATACTGAAAAAAAGGTCAACAAGAGCCACAGGAATCCAATTGTGGAGAAAAACACTCTAAGCAGGCTGATAAGGCTTGTTTGGTGAGCTGAGGTGGCCCACAGCAGTAAATCAGGAAAAAAACAAAATGGCGCCCGACCACGAGGCGGCGCTCAAAATGGCGGACGCCTACTGAGCGAGGCTGTCGGGGCCTCTCAGCGGCGGAATTATGCTCCTCCGGCAGGCTCAGAATGCAGAGAGGGGCAGCGAAGGAGAGGATCGTCTCTTCCTTAAAAGATCGGCGTTCGTGGGGGGGGGGACAGCGGCGCTTTAAAAAGGTCAAGCCGCTAACAAAAGGTGACATGGAAAGCGGCAAGGAGAGGTTTAGATCAAGGATGGGGGGGGAGGTTAGCGCGAGAGCGCTGCTAAACCGCCCGCTTTTCCCCCCCTAAGGGGCGAAGAAAACGCTCCCCTGGTATCAATGGAAGAAACCAATTGCGCAGAGGCTAGAGGAAAAAAGCAATCAAACCTGATAGACAAAAAATAAGAAGAGATCCTGAATCGGCCAAGGAGCTTGTTCAGAAACTGCCTGTCTCTCACGAGGCTAAGCATAAACTGGGGGACGCTACGGAGGAGTCACGTGAAGGAGGAGGAGTGTTCCTCAATTCAAGCTCAGCCTGTGAGTGCAGAGACTGAAGCACCTCCCACTCTGGATGCTCTGAGCAGCTCTAGGGAGAAAAACAAATCCACGGCTGGGGTGTCGAATATCTCTGTCATTTTCCTGAATAAGGACAGTGGAGACACCATTCTGCTGAGCCAATCAGCTTGGATGTTGTCGACCCCTGAAATGTGTTCCGCCCTGAGCAGTGGTGGGATTCAAATTTTTAACTACCGGTTCTGTGGGCGTGGCTTGGTGGGAGTGGCAGGGGAAGGATACTGTAAAATCTCCAGTCAGAGGTGATATTTTCTGGTTCTCCGAATTACTCAAAATTTCCGCTACTGCTTCTCCAGAACTGGTCAGAACCTGCTGAATACCACCTCTGGCCTGGAGGAACAGAACTTGCCTCTCCGCCCTCCTGAATACTCTCCAGGATGGTCTGGAGCGACTGCATCTTGAAGCACCTGTAAATAATATGATTGTTCAGCCGTTTGAGGTCTAGGATCACTCCCGACCCCAAGGCCTTTGGAATGACAAACAGTCGGGAATAGAACCCCAGCCCTCGCTGATCCTCTGATGCCACCTGGATAGCTTGAATATCCACTAAGTGTTGGATGGTGGTCTCCATGAGGACCCTCCTGGTTCTGTCCCATGAGACGGGACAGCAGATAAAGAACCTCGGAGGAAAGGAGAGGAACTTGAGGCAAAGGCTTGACCTCACAGTCTGAAGAACCCAGGCATCTAATGTTGTATCCTCTCATCAATAGGTGAAGATGGCTAGACAGCCTCTGATGGGGGGACCGGACAGGCAGTCACTTGGACCGGGGGTTCTGTACAATCCAGGAGCCAACCCAGCGGTCCTAGGATTTGCTGATGCTGTCAGCAATCCCCTGCCTAATGGCCACAGACACCATATTTTTCATATTGTCTGGTACATCTGTCCCTGGGTAGGCCACAGGGTGTAGGCCTGCCACAGTGGGAGTAAAGGTGGCCTTATCTATCAGCCTCTGCCAGTCCTTGGGTGGATTCCTACATGCAGTAGAAGATTCTGTAGCCCAGAGCGCAGGCCTGTTGCAAAGGCCTGCTCTACTAAGATCTTGGGGAAGAGAAAAATCTGTCTCACCAGCCCCATCTGGTGACCATGTCTGGGAACATTGAGCAGAACCTTGTTCTGTGTCCTCTGACTTGGACACATTTTGGCGGGAATCCTGCAAGTCACTCGAGTGGGGTGATGGTTGGCTCTGCCCCTCTAACTGCTCTCAGCCCTTGACAAATTCTCTCTCCAGAGCCTTATGCCTCCGCTGCCAAAGCCGGAGGAAGCCAAGTAGCGAAAGGCGGAAATCGTGGCAAAGCTGGAAGCCAAATGGCGTGACAGCTGTCCACCTTTTTGCTCGCACTCCACCCTGATCAAACCTGCTGGTGAGTCTATTCAAAAATCCTTCTCATCCAAACTAAAGGTCTTTCTCCTCAGAGCTTGAGCCAATTTTTTCCACATCTCTATAGGGCCAAGACTGAGTCGAAACTGGGGTCTCAGTAGTTGATAGAGAGGCGTGGCAAAGGATTGAAAATTCAGTCTCTGGGCAGAAAGGCATGTGTCAACCCAAGCGTGGATTCTCCAGTCTGCATATTAGAGAAGATAATGTTATCTAAATTTCCTATCTCAGGATACTTTACAGCCAAATTTACACTCCTGCAATACATTGCATGTACCACAACCATTAAGTTAATGTCTAGGATCCAAAATACTAAAGCATCCCAAAAATAGAACACATACGAGTTTAATTTCTCCCACTCAAATATTACAAACTACTTTTTAAAACTACTCTGCTTAAAAAGTATAGACATTATAATGTTCATGTATCATAAATTTAAAGCCCCTGTGGGTACATATAACTAATTATGAAATGAATACCTTCTGGATAGCTATTCTTGTGTATAAATTCCACAAATAGGCGTGTGCCCAACTCACAAATTAATGTAGATACTCTAAAGATTGTTGGAAAAACACCACAAAATAGGAGTTTCGGGCTCTTCAAAATGATTTTGTTTCAAGACATGATCAAAATGAAATTCAGTCTGTAATGCTCAATGCCATCACAATTCATTGTCACCAAAGTATGTAGAACTTTTTTTTTTGTGGGCAGCCTGCCAAAGATTTATAGGAAACCTGGTGGTTTCCCACAAATTGTAAAGGGCCAAAACTTCACAGCAACTGCTCGCAATTTAGCACCTGTGCATATACTTAGAATAAACAAACAAAAACTGGCTGACTGTTACACCAGTAGTAGATAAAGTAGAGCTTGAAATTTTTTCACCTTTCAGTTTCAGATTAAATGCACATTTCCATCATCATCAAGCCCATTCAAAATTCTCATTCCATATATATCCCTCCTTTCTAGTACCATGTCATTTCCAGAAAATCTTATTCTACTTATTCAATACCATTAGAGTTAAATGTAAGATCAAAAATCTTTAAAAAGTTTTTTACGCAGGAATACTGTATTTTACAACTGCAGATTCCAAATCCAATGAAAATATTGCTAGAAAAAAGTGTTCCTTAGTAGTACTGACTCTTAGAAAACCGGCTGATAGCCACCAACAGAAGATGCTGAGTTTTGATGCTTCTTATGGAATATACATCGTTAATTATATTGATGATTTGTTTTGAAAAATTACTGCAGCTTGTAAGCCTGCAAGAAATATACTAGAGATGCAGCTTTCCATTCAAATTGGGTTTAAATCTCCTCTAGGCAGAGAACATGATCAAATGATCAAATCAGGAATACTGGCCTAAGCATGTCATTTAAATGAGGCATTGGGCTTACCTGATATGTTTCTTCTTCGTGTGCTGAGAAAGAATCCAAGGAATGAGTTAACTCTGCTCTTCTGCTCGGAGACTGAGTCAATCAATCTTTTGGTCATGGCCTCCTTTGCCTGTGCATGTCCAGTTTTGAGAAGGCATAGCGATTGACTTGACATATATCCAGTACTGATTCTGGCTACTTTGGACCAGACAGTTGCCAAAGTGGGGTTAGATTCTCTCTCAGCACACTGAGAAGGAGCATATCAGTAAGACCAACACTCCTTCTCCAGTGTGCTGAGTAGAAATCCAAAGAATGGGACATACCAAAGCCAGCTGTCCTAAGGCTGGGTAACAGTCTGGTCCCGAGTCTCCAAGTCTATATGCACCTTCTGAAACACCCACCTGCTGAAGGCCGCTTCAGCTAAAGCGAAGACGTCCATTTTGTAGTGTCTTATGAATGGGGGTTGAGAAGACCATGTTGCTGCCCTATAGATGTCCTTGACAGAGGCCTGTATTGTCCATGCAGCCGTCGTGGCTGTGCTTCTGGTGGAATGGGCTGTCATACACCTGGGCAATGGAAGAGCTTGAAGCTTGTAAGCTTTAGCGATGCATGCCCATATCCACGGCCTTTGGTCAATGGTGTAACCTTGTTACCCCGTATAGAAGGCTGGAAAGATATAAACAGGGGTTTTGCCCTTCTAAGAGAGGCTGTCCTCTTGATGTAGGTGCGGAGGGCCCTCCTAACGCCCAAGGTGTACCATTTTTTCCCCCGGGTGTGGGTTGGGCTTGGGCAGAAGTCTGGCAAGATTATTTCCTGTGTCCTGTGGAATGAGGAATTCACCTTGGGGAGGAAGGAGGGATCCAACCGCAGAATCATCTTGTTTGGATGGAATATGCGAAGGCCCTCTCTTATGGAGAGGGCCACCAGTTCAGATATTTGTCTGGTCGAAGTGATGGCCACAAGGAAGGCCACCTTGAAAGTGAGAAAGAGCAGGCTTCCTGTAACAGATCGAATGGTGCTGAGATGAGAGCTTGTAGTACTTTAGGCAGGTCCCAGGTAGGGTTCCTATGTACCACAGGAGGCTTCAGGTTTGTTGCACCTCTAATGAATCTGCGCAACGTCGGGTGTAGAGCGAGGGACTCCAGATCCCCACAGGATAACACTGAGGCCAGAGTTGCTACTTGTCTGTGTATGGTATTAGGGAATAGACTCTTGTCCAGCCCCTCCTGAAGGAATTCCAGGAACTGGGCCACTGATACAGAAGTGGGATCAATGTGACCCTTGGAGCACCAGCCACAGAAGGCCCTCCAAGTTGAATCATAGATTCTGTTGGTTGAAGGCCTCCTAGAGACCTGGATCGTCTGTATGACTTTGTTGGAGAAATTGAGCTGTCCCAGAACTCTCTGCTCAAATGCCAGATGATCAATTGGAGCCACTGTGGTTCTGGATGAACCAAGGCCTCCGACTGAGGGAGATTCTTTCCTGAGGGATCCTCCAGGGCCTGGATACTGACAGGCTGACCAGATCTGCATACCACGGACGTCTGGGCCAGTGGGGAGCCAAGATCAGGATCGCTCTCTCCGCCAGCACAAATTACCCCTGGAATGGGGGAAAAGAAGGAAAGGTATATAATAGCCCTCAGATCCATGAACTGCAGAGCACATCAACCCCTTCCACCCCCAGTATTGCAAACCTAGTGTAAAACCTGGGCAGCTGGGCGTTTGATGGAGAGGCGAACAGGTCCAGGATCAGAGGGCTGAACCTTTCTGACAGTTCCCTGACAGGGTGTAGGCGCCACTCTGATGGGTCGAGTTCTTCTGAGCCAGTTCGCCTGTACATTCAATGTCCCCGAGATATGCTCCGCTCTGATGGAGAGATATTTCTCTGCCCAGAAACCCAATTATTTGGCCTCTCGCATGAGACACCTTGGCGGTTGATATGGGCCTTGGTGGCCACATTGTCTGTCAGAATCAGTACATAATGACCAGAAATCATGTCCTGGAACCAACTGAGGGCCAAGTGGGTTGCCTTACATTCCAGCCAGTTGATGTTGTTCCTCAGGTCTGTCTGAGACCACTGCCCTTGTGCCACCTGGGACTGTAAATAGGCACCCCAGCCAAAAAGGCTGGCATCTGTGGTGATAGTTAGGCAGCTTGGCTCCTTGAAAATACATCCCTTGGTTATTGCCTGGGACATCTACCACTGGAAGGATTGAAGTACATTTGGTGGGAACTCAACCCTGGTATTTGAGTTGCTCCTGTCAGACCTTTGGTAGAGCAGGAGGAACCACTGTAAGGTTCTGGTGTGCAGGCATGCCCAAGGGACTATTGATATGCAGGACACCATTTTGCCCAGGAATTGTGAGAGGAGAGCCAGAGACACTGTTCAATTCGTACACATCCAACTTGCCAAGTCCTTTATGCTGTCCTAGCGTTCCTGAGACAGGGAAACCTTGCATGATGAGGTATCTATGACTGCTCCAGGTATAGTAATCAGGTGGTAGGAGCCAGGTGGTTCTTGAAATTGACAGAAAATCCGTGATCCTGGAGGGCCCGAATTGTGACTCGCAGATCCTCTGTTGCTCTGAGGTGAGAGGAGGACTGTATCAATATATCGTCCAGGTAACATTGGATGCACACGGGAATTGCCCTGAGGTGTGCCAGTAATTTGGTGAAAATTCTGAGCGCTGAGGACAGGCCAAATGGTAGGGCCTTGTATTGATAGTGTCAGCCTGCATAACAGAACCTCAGGAACCACCAGTGGGACGGTAGGATAGGCACATGAAAATATGCCTCCGTCAGGTCTATGGATGTTATGAAGTCGCCTTCTTGGATGCTCACCATAATGGACTGGAGGGACTGCATCTCCTGTAAGCCAGGTGGATGTTCAATCTTTTCAGGTCTAGAATTGCTCTCCACCCGCCTGAGGTCTTTGGGACTACAAATAGGATGGAGTAGAACCCTTGCCCCTGTTGGGACCGGCTGGATAGTTTGAATGTCCAACAAATGTTGGATTGCGGTCTCCATGAGGCCTCTTTTTGTGTTGTCCCTTGAGATGGGGTAACAGATGAAGAATCTCAGGGTGTGGAGTGGGTGAGACCTAGTCTCACTGTGTTCAGGACCCAAGTATCTGTCATGGTCGCCTCTCATTAGTCTGCGAATAGACTTAGGCAGCCACCAATGGGAGGGTTGGGTTCGCAGTAATCTGGAGCATCAAAAGGAGTGACCTCCTGATCCAAGAAATGGCCGCTTGGTCTGGAACTGTTGCCTGTTTCTATCCCTAAATCCTGATCTGTCTGGTTGGCGGTCCTGTCTGTGGGAATATACCCTCTGGGGGCAAGGAGTGTCAAAGCTGGAGTTTGTAGGCCTGAATGAAAGCCTATGAAAATAAGCCGAGGGATGGCGATCAGCTCGCCTCTATAGGGAAGGCAGTACCTTTCTCCTGTCTTTTGTCTGCACCAGGATGGCCTCTAGGGCCTCTCCAAACAGCTTGCTACCCTGGAAAGGAGCTGAGGCTAGTTTCCATTTATAGTTCATATCCGCCTACCAGTGACGAAGCCACAGCAGGCGGCAGGCTGTTACCGAGATGGTGATTGACCTGGAAGTGAATTTGGCAGCATTCAAAGTGGCATCAGCCGAAAATTCCATTGCTGCTACCAGCCCTCACTTGCATCTGGTGAAGCCAGAGCAAGGAGGTTCTATCAAAAAATGAGGCGGCTGTTGTAGCCTTGACCACCCAGGCAGCCGCCTGATGTGCCTTGCAGACGGTCAGCTCCGCCTTCCTGTCCTCTGTCTTCAGGGCATCCTCCATATTGTCAGACAGGATGGTGGAGGATGCCAAGGCTGCCACTGGTCTGTCTATCTTGGGAAGTTGTAGAGCCTCTGTGAGGTCCGGGGCCACATTATAAAATTTCTTATCGCTTCCGCTTAGAGATGGCTATGCCCCTGGGTGGGTCCATTGCCTCTGGACCATGTCCAGGAATAGTTTGGGTGATGGAATTTCCTCATTCTCTGTGGTTAGTTCTGAAAAGAGCAATTCACTCTGGTCCATTAGGCCCAATGCTGACTCCCATGTTGGATCAGCTCCCAAGTGGGCTGTGGCAATGGCCTTGTATAGCAGGGATTTAAAGAGGCCGGGGTAAAATAAAGGCCAGAAGATCTGGGGCCATCCCCTCATCCTCTGAAAGCACTGGCTCTGTTTGATCTCCTGAGAGTAATTCCCTGCTCTACGTGGATGAAGTGGGTGAATGAGGCCTTTGAAAGGCTGCCAAGTCTCTTTGAAACTGGGGTGCTGGATGATGGCCCTGACGTAATGGGGAGTCAGCTGCCCCAGAAGCAGTCAGGCATCTTTGCCCCAAGCCTGAAGCAATTCCTTGCGCTATGGCCTCTGAAATCAGAATTCTTATCTGATCAGAGATTTCAGGTCCCTGATTTTCCCTTGGGCGGAGCCCTGCCACTGTAGGTGTAAAGGTGGCCTCTGGTGCAAAATTCAACCTCTTTGGAGGTGGCTCCCAATTTTCTTCTGCTGGAGGCAGATATGACCGTGAAAGGAAAAGTTTTTCATTGCTGTCTAATGGAGTCTGAGAGGATTGCTCTCTGGCACCATCTGGCGATCAGGCTTGTGAGCTGAGATCACTCAATTGCCTTGCTTCATTTAGAGGCTCTAACGGCCGAATTGAAAAAGCGTGGGAAGTGGCGGCTTCTCCCCTTGGGGAGTTTGTCTGTCCCTGGCGCTTTGCTTCTCTCTCAGCTTTGGCCATCTGTTTGTCCAGGGCTTTCTGATGCCTCTTGGCCTCCCCCTCTCTTCAGCCTTAGAGGCCTTCTGTGCCCTAATTCGGTCAGTCGCTCCTCTAACTGCTGATTTTGGCACCGAGGGGCTTTCCTTGGTAATCTGGGACTGGACTGGAGAACCAAGATCTTGCCCACTGACCCCCATCTCTTTGTGGCTGCCCGATGGCACGGAAGCCACCATTTTCGCAATCCGAACTTCTAATTCAATAAGGCAGGCTCATTTGCAATGACCCCTTCAGTCACGGCTTATTTTTGCTGTTTTACACTTTGCCGCTAATGTTTGCACCGGAGTTAACTGGGCAGTGACTCTCTGTTAATAGTATGTACCTGAGTTAACTGGGCAGTGACTTTTTAGTCCCCTCTACTGGGTGTGGGAAGGTGCCAGGGACCTCAGCTCTGTTAATCTGAGCCGGAATAAAGGTCTAATCCCCACTGCCTAAAGGCGGGAGAAAGACAGGGACCTCAGTTCAGTCCTTCTGAGCTGGCTTGGGGTGCTCTGTTGGAAAGCCCGGGGAGCCAGCCGAGTTTTTCGCTGTTTTACAAGGCTAACACGATGCCACAATCTTACTTTAAGATTGTGAAGAATCCAAGAAATGAAACTCTGTCTTTGTTCAAAGGAACTATCTTTCCATGTGTCCCCTCTGAGCTGAGACTGAGTCAAAACTGGGCATGAACAGGCAAAGGAGGCGTGACCAAAAGATTGATTGACTCAGTCTCCAAGCAGTTAACCCATTCCTTGGATTCTCTACTCAGCACACTGGAGAAATTCTATTTCATCGCCAATGCTTTTTAATACTTGTTAATGCAACATGGCCATTTTGTTTATAAACCATATATGTAATAATCAACAATAATGAATAATTGCTTATAAAGCAAATGTATTTCCATATTTTTCAGCTATTATTAACAACAAAGATTTACAAATAAACTTCTAGTTCTAAATACTGCAAAATGCATGCTTGATATAGCATCCAGGTATTATTATTAATACTTGGAAACCCACGAAGATGACAGAGTGTACTTTTTGACTTATGATTTATAAGCTGAATTCATGATTGCTGAATGCTTGGAGTGATTAGTGCAACAGAGGCCCTGCTAGTTCTTTGAAACTGCTGAATGGTTTGATAGCATTACTGTATAGGCACAGAGAGAGAAAGAGAGAGTGGGAGCCCAATTAGCTGCTCAAGTGCAATTCACACTCACACACATATAAGCTATTGAATTCATGCTACAAAATGAAGGAGAAAAATACACTCTACTTTTTATGTCCTTTCTCTTAAAATTCAAGACTGAGAGAATAAAGAAAGCAGCAGTTTCATTTCACTGCTGTGAGAGCTGGAGAATTTCAAAATTAGAGTAAGCACATACTTTAATAATTAGGACATCTCCAACCTCAGTTATGGCCCATGTATAATCACATTTTGTTTTAGCAAAATAAAGATGTAAACACAGTATTGACTAAATATCTTCAAACTTCCACTAGAATGATTAGTAGTCATAATAGAAAGAAACACCGTAAAATGCTATTTTTGCTTTTTAAACATAAAAGTATTCCACTTTTCATATTGCCCCCCCTCATTAGTCAAAACAGAAGAAAGGAAGTATAGTGGAATTAAAATTGGAGAGGACAAACATTTAATTCAGTTTTGAAATTGAACAGTTAAGAACATCTGACCTGGTCTTGAACAAATATTCAAGGAAGGAGCAAAGAAGAAAGACTAATTTTGTGCTTCAAAATTACAGTATTTTTCAGACTATAAGACACTCCGGACTATAAGATACACTTAGCTTTGGGGGAGGAAAACAAGAAAAAAAACTGCCTCTGCCTCCCAGCAATTTGCCTCCTTGCAGCAAACAGCCTGTACAGCTTCAGCACAGCCTGATTTAGAATGAGCAGCTGACTGGCAGTTAGGTCAGCCTCCCGGAACACCACCAATCAGCTGTTCTAGGCAGCGGGGATCGCCACCGCCCATCAGTGCCACCGCCACCCATCACTGCTGCTACTTATCACCGCATCCGCACACCCCATTTTTGGCCTCCACACATCCCATTTTCAGCTTCCGTGTGCCCCTTTTTTCGGCCTCTGCGTATCCAGTTTTTGGCCCATTCCAGGCGGTGGGGATTCCCGCCACTGCAACCTATCCCCATGGGTGGGCTTTTGGGTGGGCAATCATTTTCCTAATCATTTTGTATGGCTCGGAAAAAGGGCGTTGGTACTTACCTGATATGCCCGTTCTCTGTGAGCTGTGAAGAGCATCCAGAAGTGGGAGGTGCTTCAGTCTCTTCTGGAAAGGCTGGGCTTCAAACTCCAGGACGCTCCTCCTCCTCCACGGGACATCTCCCCAGCGTCCCCCAGTTTTGCGATGACTTGAGTGCCAAAGTTCGGAACTCATCACCTAATCTAGATCTCTGACCGGAACGGAACCTCACCAGACGGAAAGAAATGGGTGGGGCTGGATGCTCTTCACAGCTCACAGAGAATGGGCGTATCAGATAAGTACCAACGCCCTTTCTCCCATGAGCTGTTCCGAGCATCCAGAAGTGGGACATACCAAAACTTGGCCTGTCCTTAGGGAGGCAATCCGTCTGGATCGAAATCCACTCCTAAACTCTGTGGACCCTCTGCAGGACTCTTCTGCCAAATGAAGCGTCCACTGAGGCATAGACATCAATTTTATAATTTCTGACAAAGGGCGATGGTGAAGGCCAAGTTGCCGCTCTGCAAATTTCGTCTATGGAAGCCCGTGTGGCCCATGCTCCTTTTGTTGAGTGGGCTGTAATGCCCTTAGGAACTGAGATGGACTGGCATTCGTAACTTTTAGCCATGGTGGCTCTCAACCATCTACCAATGGTCGTCGACGACACCTTGTGTCCTAAAGTGGATGGGTTGAAGGATAGGAATAGAGCCTCAGATTTTTGAAATGCCGCCGTGTGGTCTAGATAGATGCTTAACACCCTTCGAACGTCAAGTTGATACCATTGATGCTCCAGTCTATGAGATGGTTTCAGAGAAAAATTTGGAAGCACCAACTCCTGCGGTCTGTGGAAGACTGAATTTACTTTAGGGATGAACGATGGATCCAATCTGAGAACCACTCCGTCCGCATGAAACACGCACAGGTCCTTTCTTATCGACAATGCTGCCAATTCGGAAATCCTCCTTGCTGATGTGATCGCAATTAAGAAGACCACCTTACATGTCAGGAATTTGAGACTAGTGGTTCTTAAAGGCTCAAATGGGCCAGTTGTAAGTGCGGTTAACACCTTGTTGAACTCCCAAGTGGGATAGCGGTGAATTACAGGAGGTCGTACATTTGCAGCACCCTTAAGAAAGCTGCGGACATGCGGATGGTGCACTATGGACCGGAGGTCACCCCAGGGTATCACTGAGGCTAAAGCCGCCACCTGTCTGCATAAAGTATTTGGAGACAGGCCCTTGGTCAACCCCTCCTGTAAAAAGTCCAATAATTGTCCTATTGATGGTGCAGTTGGGTCGATCTTAGACCCCTGGCACCAGCGACAGAAAGCGGACCATGTGGCCTCGTATATACGATTTGTTGAGGACCGTCTGGATGCTTGTATGGTGGCAATGGCATCCTCTGAAATCTGTTGGGTCCTTAAACGGCTCCGTTCAACCTCCATATGGCTAGGCTGAGCCATTGTGGGTCTGGGTGAAGTACCGGCCCTTGCGAGAGGGAAACCCTCGACGGTGGAATTTTCCAAGA